CGTGCCTACAGCTCCTTTATCTCTCAGTGTTTTGCCTATCACCAGAGTAGCTGAATAATTTGTGCATAAATTCTGTGAAGTTTCCACCACTTCTTTCTTTTCAGCTTCACAACCCTATTTAGCTGTGGTTTGCAGGAAAAGCGGGACACAGGGAGAGAAGTCCTTCAAGTGAGTCTGTGGCAGAAGACCACTGAAGTTAATGAGATGCTAGTGGAGATAAGGATTTTGTGCAGTCAAAAAGTCAACAGTAGCTTCAGAAACTACATAAGGCAGGCTGAGGCTGGGAAAAGGATGTATTTCTCCACCTTGTTTGCAGATAAGGAAGCGAGATTCCAAGGGGAATGAGTGATTTACCCACAGTCACACAGGAGATCAGCGAGAGATATGGAAATTAATGCTGAAAAGCATTTCAGTGCCTTAATCATAAAGCCAATCTTTTCCCTCGAATGCCAACAGCATTAAATGTTCCTTTTCAATAATGGAATAAGCAGAAGAGTTTCACTGACTTACAGTAATGTTTCCATCAAAAATTTTTAGAGGGTAGCCAGTTCAAGTTAAAAGTGTTGGTCAGTATTGCAACCTTTGTCCAACTGTATGGACCAGCAATTGTAGGGACCAGGGACTGTAGCTGAACTGAGCAAGTTTACCTGTGAGATTCCTTTCAGGATCAAGTCATGCTAAGGTTGGAAAATGCAAGGTCAAAAAGTAATAGGTGTGTTTCATTATATTTACCATTAATTAGGTAGGCTTTGAAAAATGTGGACTGAAATATTGTCTTGCTGGGAAGCTATTAAGCTGTTAGGCTGAGGGAATATATGGCTTAGAATAGGAAAGATTCACATCTCCTGTCTGCAAATAAATCACCTGTACATCATCTATCTATTTGACCATCTCTGAGTAGTATTTATATCAAGGTGATAGCTAGGTAGCTGCCCAGAGAAGCACGTTTTGTATAAACACATAATAGCCTGGGCCAAGGTCTGTTTTTATTTAAACTAGCTTCAATTCATTGTGTCTTAATTGAAAATAATGGTGTTACAGCAGTGATCAAAGAATTGTCCCATTAATTGTCTATTAAATCATTAGCTATTAAACAGAAATAAAAGGTTAAGAATGCAACACACTCTGTTCTGCCCCAAAAATGGAATATCTCTCCAATTACAAAGAAACAATAAAGGCAGAATTAACAGTGAAAAGAAGCTTAAGATTAGGCAATTACATCCAAAATGCCTGACAACTCTTATTAGAGGGTTTAGCAGTACCACCTATACAGAGAAGGCAACACAAATTTGGAAGCAAAGTCAATACTGACTTTACCAAAGGGGCTTGTAAAGGGAATATGCATTTTTCTGAAAAAAATATAGGCACATAAACCCTGTACTAAATTTTAACTCAGCTAATTAATTGTTATGGATTCAATCTTGCAACCAATACATATATTTCCAGTTTAGAAATTATGCCTGAACAGCATTCAGTGTGAGAGCACCTCTCAGTAATTTGTGACTGAAATCCATTATAAGGATGCTGCAATTTTCACAAAAATAACATTACTCCCATTTTCTATCACCAGGACAAGGCAAGATGAACTCAGTGAAGACCAAATTCAGACCTCTTGTTTTTGTTCATTAAGTCAATATATTAGAGTTGGGTACCAGTTCTGGGGAAGAGTCCCGGAGGCATTCTCTTCTGTCAGTGGTTTGATACCCAAATAATTTCACAGAGCAGTCAAATGAAGACCTGGTTTATACCCAACTTAGTCACTATCAAAAAAAATGGGGAATTACAGTGCAAATCTTGTAAAACCTGTGCAGAATTTTGGCCTGTGTTTTGGTCTGCTTTATCCAGATCACTGAAAGGAATGGGAGGACACTCATCAACTTGAAGGTACTTTGGAACCGGTCTAACTCCACCTAGAAATACAACCCATTTTGAAAAAGCAAGAAGGAAGGATGATCAAAGGGCAAGAGCTTTGCTTTCTTGAAGTGTATAAATCCACAACGGCAACTGGAAATCTTGTCTCTGCTCACAGAGGTCAGGTCAAGTCTTATTTAGTTGCCAGCTTCAGCGGACCTTTTAAATTTGGGAACCAGAACAACTTCATGCCCAACTTTGACAGGATATCTGTATGGACAACTGCTGATTGAACTGAACGGACTTTAAACGGGCAGTGTTTTGAAATGCAACATCTCCCTGATGTCTGCAGATACTAATTTTATTAGTGGAAGAGGAATTTTCTGACCTTTTCCTATCTGTTTCAGTCCAATATTCTCTAACTACAGCAAGTCCTAGAAATACTAGAAACTCTATTAATAGAAACAAAAGTCCATATACACCATCATTTAGATCTGGATCTGGTTTTCTGAAGTGCAAAGAAAAGACAATCTCAGCAGTATGTTGATGATATATAACTTGGTGCTTGAGTTTATAATATGAACAATTCATTGTGAACTGATAAAAAATAGCTACTAATCAGATATACAGCAAAAAAAGAATAGCAAAATTCATCAAGAGAGTGTGTTCCTTTGAAAATCAAGTTAGTCATACACAAAGATATTCATTCATGTTCCTTCTGGTAAGGACTTTAAAGAAAATTTGGGTTCCAGAAAAGGAAAATATGATGTTGTGGTTTAGCCCCAGCTAGCAGCTGAGCACCACATGGCTGTTTGCTCACCCCTCCCCACCAGTGGGATGGAGAGTAGAATTGGAAGAAAAAGGTAAAACTCATGGATTGGGATAAGGACAGTTTACTGGGACAACAAAGGGAGAGGGAAATAACAACAACAGTACTTATAACAGAATATGCAGTTGATACACAATGCAATTTGCACACCCCCAGAGCCTGATGCCCAGCCCAGCCCTGAGCAGCGATCCTTCCTCCCCCGCCAGCCTCCTTTATATACTGAGCATGATGTCATGTGATATGACATCAATATGGTATGGAATACTCCTTTGGCTAGTTTGGGTCACCTGTCCTGGTTGTGTCCCCTCCTGGCTTCATGTGAAAATTAACTCTATCTTAGCCAAAAACCAGGACACGATTTTTTTCTTTCCCCATCTGATAGATAAGGGAAAATACAGAAGCTAGAGCACAGGCTGGAGACTCAAGAGACCTCCTCCATCACTGGCTGAGGCTAGACATTGGAACCGTCACTTTCATGAAAGAGAAAGTATTATGCTGATGTCCTTTGTAAAATGCTTTGAGGTCTGAAAACTGCTAGGCATCATTATTGCATAACCAAGCCCCAAGTTATCAACTTCTCTGAGGATACAATGGCACACATGCCTCTGCCCAATAACCTGAATTTTATTTATGAATTATTTGCCTTCATGTTAAATGGAAATAAATCTTAATGAAAAAAGTTGGAAGCAAGTAGAAGTTGCCTAAGGCTTCTGCCCAAACCCTTCTTGCCTTTCCTATAGCTACCTAGGACCAAATGGATGTCATCTTCCCCTACTCGTAGGTCTCAGAAAGACGGAATATGTACAAAGTGTACGGTTGCTCTGCAAGCTCTTTAACTGCAAAGGAATTTCTTTGTTGTTGGATCTAAAACCTAATGAAATTTTGGGGTTTTTTGGAGGATGTAATTTATTCCAAAAATTGGTAACAAGCTTATTCAGAGTTGTCAAAAACAAGAAGGTGAATTTTTTGTTCCAGCATATTATCTTCAAAAAAAATAGCTTTGCTGTGTGCAATTCTTTAGCCAGCTAAACAACATGAAAATTTATCTGACAAAGTACAAGCTAGCTATTAGGACCTTTGCAGTCTTATCTACAAAGAAGTTATAATAATAGGTTAAACATACACAGATAAAGGATGCGGGTTTCCTCCAATGGAATCTGAAGAAAACTTAAAGAAGTGCTCAGGTCTGGAATACATTCACACTTGGGGGAATTGGGAAATATCAGGAGGAACTTGTTTCCTAAAAACTACAAAGAGACCTTATCGTAAGATCTACAGGTTACAGGATTACTATGGAAAAAGGATAACTATACTACCCTATTTTTATAGCATTTATATATAATATACTGCACTTCCCTGGAACTGAGACAAAGAAACTATCTTTCTAGGAAGAAATTCCTAAATAATACAAAAAAACCCCATGCTTATAAAGAATTCATTGTAGTCAATTCTTAAGTTCATTTAAAACAAGAAAAAAACACCCCCAAACCACAGGATAAAACAAATAAACCTATTAAATATATTCAAAAGTATTTCTCTTATGCTTCAAACTAGTAATGAGCTAAAAGCCGAAAGCCGTGCAATGGTGTCAGAAGTCACGCAGTCAATGTCTTGATAAAGTCACATTAATGCTATTTTCATCTCACTGTCGGGGGGGAGAACCAGTTGAACAAATCATTAAAAAAAAAAACCAAACCCACCACAAAACACAACATTGTTTAAAAGCTCCCAGCTCTTGTTTTATGAATTTTTCCAACAAGATGGTTATTTTCTGTTATCTATCATGCTCCTCCAGATTTGATACAGTTCAGTATCTTTACTTACAAGAAATTTCTGACTGGAAAGCAGGTGATGAAGTCAGAAGCATGTAGGAAACCTTGCTGCACACTGTTACAATATACTGCATTAGTATTATTAAATAATGGATGCAGAAAAGCCACACAAAAGCAAAGCTCCCTATGCGGGGTGTTGACTTTTCCCAAGTGGGACATATCAGAGAACATGTTCTTTCTCATCAGCACTGGCTGGCCAGTGAAGAAGGACTAGGACTGCTCTTCCAGCATCCTCAGCCCTCTCTCCCACATGGACACACCAGCACAAACGGCTCCGCATCAGTCTATGGAAACGTACTAACCCTGCATAACCTCTGGAGACCACTCTCCTCACTGCACAGTGGAAAAAACCCGCCACGGCAGAAACAGCCATGACAGTAAAACACCTGGTTGATGTAAAAACCTGAATGTGAGCCAGGTGCCAATATGGTGGTGGTGGAGGACAAAAGGGTGAAAACTCCGTTCTCCACCTCATGTGGGAGCCTTACCTTTATGATGTCTTCGTCAGCTGATTTGCACTCAGTGGAGTCTGAAACGTCGACCACAGACCCATCCTCCTGCACAGCAACAACCTTGACTGGGACAGACACCGTTTTGCCCGTCAGAATGGCCGTGTTAAGGACTTCTGTGTCCTGTATGCACACACACACAAAAGAGGGATGGGCGTTAGAGGAGCATAAAACCATGAGCATGCTGCAGGGGCTGGACTGAGGAACCAAACCCTGCCTCTGACAGGGATGGGGCAGAGGAGCGACCCTTCCTGGCACACACCCTTCCAGCTCCCTGCAGTCAATGGTTTAACAACTTCTTAATCCAAAAGTTGCATCTGGACTAGTAAATTCTGGTTTTGACAAATACGAATTTACTCTTTTTGAGCCCATTTACAGGTTTGGCTGCTGTGGCAATGAAATCTGTAATGCAATTATGTGTGAAGGCACATCTGCAGCTTGGGAGAACCACAGCACTATTTGGGTATGATCTCCAGAGGGTGTCAGCGACTCTTCCCACCCCCTTACCCCAGATCATGCCAGTGACTTGGGAAGTGATTACAATAACAGGATTTCTTTCTTACTGCTCCAGCTAACAGTGTTGCAAGTTGATCATTTTACCTTTTCAGGACACATATACATGAGAAAATCTACGCATGAGGTAGGTTATTACCAACTAAGCAATGCCATCCATATACAATTTTTTTTAATCTTTCCCCATCAAAATCCCACCTAGAGATGTTTTACCATGTTTATCTCTAATCCTGATGAATTCACAGTGCTGGCACTCTAATGACTCCATTACCACAGCCTTCCTCTGTGTCTCAGTATGGCTACTGTTTGATTAATTACTCCAAATGAGTTGCCTCAGAGGTCCCTGCCTTGCGTAAGCAGGTATGCAGACTGGAGGGGAACAACCTCCAAAGACCTACAGAGCAGCTTGTCTCTGCTTAAGCAGCGCTTACTGCAGGCCCAGAACGTGACACACATGCAGGGCAAGGAACAATCTGTGCTTGCAGAGAGGTTCGGTTTGGCCTTCTCGAAAAGCCTGCAATAGGAAATACTGCTTTGAATCAATCCCCTTTTCATTTTTCAACTTCCATAAAACTAATTGCTTGCCAGTTGTTAAAAAAAAAAAAAAAAAAAAAAAAGTTGCTTCCAACTAATCTAACTTTAAATTCCGTTATTAGAATTGGTGGAAGAAGAAATGGATTTTAGTGAAAAATTTGATGGCAGCTTGCATAGGGAGATATATTCACTATCATTTGCTTCTGTCTGCTAGCTAGATTGATAGAAAATAATGGGCATTGACCACAAGCTAAGGACAGCTGGAGAAGACCAATAAATACTTGCAACTAAGATGTATTATTAATCAATATTCAGAAACTTCTACAAAAAGCACCCTGAATTAAATGAGTTGAAGTACTAATAACACTAGTGCCAGCTAACTAATACAGTCTACTAGAGCTTTATGGGCAGTCATGTTCCAGAAAAGCCTTTAAGCATGTACTTGAGTCCATTTCTGTTCAGAACAGCACTAAAAGTACGTGCTCAACTTCACACTTAGACTTCAATGTGATTTAAGCATTTAAGTGTTGTCCTGAATAGAGATGCTTTTCTGAATAATACCTCATGAAATAAATATACTGTCTTTGTTCTGTTCTCTGTGAGGCACAAACCAGATGTTTTACACAGTTAATGACTGTCTAGTTTTTGTTTATGCTGAATGGGCTCATTTCTAACCAGCTGCCATCCATGAGGGAGGGACACTGGGAAAGAGAGAAGTATGTGACAAGCATGTGACAAAAATAGAAGTGTGAAAGAACAACTGTAAAACCTTTTCAAAGACTGAGGTTTGAACAAAGCCAAGAAGAAAATGCACTGCCAGGTGAAAGAAAACAATCAGCTGGACCTCAGGTGGAAAGAAGGTGCATAAGACAGACAAAGAGAAACAGAGGGTGCTTCATCCACAAGTACGTCAGAGAAGAGGTAGGTAGATTTCACCAAACCAACAGCAAATATCCCATAAATCCTAAGTCATCAATCTAGTGTCAACATATGCCAGGTATATGATGAAGACACGGTGGTCCTGTGTCCAGATGCTCCCAAAAAGCAGTTTGCCAGTATGCTATTTCTAAGCCATTCTTCCACAAGAGACAGTCTTCTTCATGGGAAACAGTACTTTTGCCAAGGTCACAAACAACAAACACATGACTAATTCCACTTCAAAAGCCACTCAGCACAGCTATGTAACTCCTACATGTCAGGGGCAGGCAGCACTTGTATGCAATTACAGTCTGATCCAAAGCCCTACCAAGTCATAGAAGAAAGGCTTCTTTTGACTTCAGTGGACTAGAACCAGGTTCTCAACTAATTTCTCCTTTGGTTTTTGCACTGTTCATTGTTATCACCCTTGTGTTGACCTCATATGTGACAAAGGATAAACAAAACGTCTAGCCTCCTTTTAATTCCAAGTGCTGCTTAGCTACCAGGCTGAAGTCAGACTTTGATGCTTTGAGGGATAATGCAAAGTTTATAAAACATTTGCATTCCTTTCATAAACTCCTTGTGAAGATAAGCATGAGAGAAAAAGTCTTAAGACACCTCACAACCCTGCTATTTGTGGATGCTCTGAAATATGCTCATCCTGCTCTTGACACAAGCACTGTCCCGAACCTTCCCTCCTTCCCAGCGTGTACAGATGCCCACCGTGCTAATTAGCTGGTGCTGCTTGACAAAAACTACACTTCATTGGTAAGCAATTCTACTATATAAATCAATATTTCAGATGCCTGATGCCTTGGATCAAGTGTTACACAAGTATAATAGGCTGTGTAAAGACCTTTTTAAGAGCTGGCTGTTTATAGACTGAAAAAATATATTTCCTCTGAGGAAGAAATATGAAGCCAGAACTGAACTAATTGACTGTCCATTAGATTTATAAACAGGCTTCTTTTTTTTAGTGCATCTTCAACAAGTAATAGCATTTCATCTAAATTCTGTTAGGCTTGTTTTATATTTCCATGGTAGGGTTTAGTGCAGAAAAAAAAGTGTTACTGAATTTAAGATACCTGTGTTGGTTATTACTAACAGCATCTGAAATGTAGAGAGGGATAATAATGTTGATTTACATAGGCAGGTCCTCCCACATGGCACAGCATCAGTGAAACATCTGGCACAACGCCCAGGGACCACCAGCACAAACCTCTAACTGCTGACACTGCAAGGTCCTGGGTGAAAAACTGGGAATCCCTTCCTATTTCTTTTGTCGAGGGTTTCAGCTGCCAGATCTTGACCAAAACCTTCAAGCAGCCTAGGTGGAAGCTACGCATTCATATTGCAGGCTCTATCCCTGAATAATAATTATGTGTGTTTATCTCCAGCTCCTTCTCTCTACCTGAATGCATTAGCACTTCAGCAGAGCTCTTCTTAATTACAACTGTAACCTGCTAATAGCATTTCTTTGTTGTCTGAAGGAATCTACTTCTTATCCAGCCTAGGCTAAATTAAAATTTAATACAACATCAGGTCGCAACAGAACTAGGAAGCAAATGACAGCTGTTTAATTAAAACCTAAAGCTGATTAGATGGCACTACTGAGAGAAATACTCAAGAGGAAGAGCAGAAAACTACTGAAACTCAAGGCCAGGATAATGGCTTTATTTAAATATGAATAAACCTCTGTACAGTCATAGTAAATGTTTGACAACTCATTGCTTTGGACAAATGGAGGGAAATGTGAACGGGACACATATCAAGAGTCATGATAGAGCTGTGATTACCAACACCGCTGTTAGCTATGTATGTGACCAGAAGCAGGAA